GTCCTCTCACTGCGTCGTGGGCAGAGCAGCGTCTCCCACTCAGGGTCCTCTCACTGTGTCATGGGCAGAGCAGGGTCTCCCACTCAGGGTCCTCTCACTGTGTCGTGGGCAGAGCAGGGTCTTCGTGTGTCACTCCCAGCGTTGCGTTTTCACCGCTGCTGAGTGCAGTCTCCTCTGGACGCCAACTGTGCCCCGATCACTGCTGGGTGGCTGAATGCTGTCTCTGACGCTGTTAGCACAATAAGAAACATTTTACTGCATACTTATTTTTAATATCTGTGTATTTTATATACTTAATACACACATGGTATATGCATTTTATATAATACCCATAATAATGATTTTATATATAATTATATCTTCTTAATCTTTCTAACTAAATTGGCCTCTTTGACTCATGTGTTTTCTTTCTTGGACTAGGCAGTTGACAGATACTTCAAGCTTCCTCATGTGTCCAGTAAACCATCTCGGACTTCAGGAAGCCTTGTGGACACTTCTTACAAAACATTAAGGTTTGCATTCAGAGCGTCACTAAAAACTGCCATCTATCGAATAACGACTACTTTTGGCGAACATTTGAAGTAAGTTTTCCTCTTTTGGTCTCTGACAGTAGTCCACTTTCAGGAGTTCCCATGAAATAGATATGAGAAGTATAAAGACTCCCATGTGGAAAGGGTTTTATTGGTGGGAGGGGATCCTCATGATTCCCACTGAATTCACAGCTTGGATTTAGACATAATCATGTGTTAGTATATATATAATACTATCATTATACATCAACACATTAGATATATTTATGTGTTATGACATCCTTAAGAAAAGCGGGGAGGGAGTTCCTTTCTGGGAACACAGTACAGATGATCTGGCATTAAGCCGTGGTGGAGATGGCCACCCGTGAGTGCTGGGTGCTTTGTGCATCATGCTGGGAAGGCCCTTTCCGAAGCCGAACTAGAGGGAAAACCAGGAAAGCCCACCCCGTGCGCCATTCGTTCCAACCTTGTCTGTGCTTCTCCTTCATGAGATCATCACTGGTGTCTTAATGATGTGTGTGTATCACAATTGCAAATGAACTTAGAAGGTGAGAGATGATTCTAGTTCTGCTTTCTGTCTGCAGTCCAGTAGTTGGGGATTCTGGAGACCACTTGCGCTGAGAAGCAGCAGTGTAGGAGCATCTCCTTTGGCTCTAGGCAGCAGCAAACATTTATGGAGCACTTCACCTCTCTGTGGGACCCTCTATCCTTAAGAGGTTTATCGCTAAAACCCAGCATTTACTGAGTGCCTTCTAGATCAGCACTGACCAGTGTGCTTGCCATGGAAAGCTATTTAAATTTAATGAATTAGAGTGAAATGATATTAAAAATACACTTTGTCAGTTTCAGTAGCCATATTTCAAGTGCTCAGTAAGCACATGAACCTAGGGGCTACCATATTTCAAGTGCTCAGTAAGCACATGAACCTAGGGGCACACCACAGAGTCGGCAGTCTGAACCCACACATGCTCACTGAGCAGTATAAATGGATCACACACAAAGTGCTACTTCCAACACTACCCAATATTGGATAGAAAAAAAATAAAGCAAATTCCCTGCCCTCAAGTTGAGTCCAACTCATCGTGACCCTACAGGACTGGGGACAATTGCCCCTTTGGGCCTCCAGAGTGTAAATCTTTGTCCTCGGGAGTAGCTGGTGCATTCAAACTACCGGCCTTGAGGTTAGCAGCCCAACCTGTCACCCACTCTGCCAACAGGGCTCCTTGTGTGGTCTAGAGATGATCATTGTGCTAATGTGGAAACTGAGGTCAGAGAGGTTAAGAACTTGCCTGACAGCACAATCTCGTGAGGGACAGAACATAAACTTGAAATAGGGTCGTCCTTGCTCTTAAAAATTCACCTTCTTTTCTTATGCAATGCTGGCCAGCTTCTAAGAAGTAAAGTGTGGCACCCAGCGTGCTCAGAAGACACCTGCTGTCACTTTAGAGAATGGACTAGATGTTACATTGATAATACTTCAAAAGCAAGAGAGATGACTGATAGTCTGCCATAGTCTCTCATTTTTGAGAAGAGCTGTAATTGACATTTTACTACATTAAAATCGATGAGGTTATTAGAAACTACTTTGTGCAAATACAGGATAAGTGCTCTGATTAAGAAGACGTTACATTTGGAGTTAAAATATCTGGATTTTTATGAGGTTATATCATTGACGCTCAGTGACTATAAGCAGATTATCTAAAAATTTGAATAACTTGGCCTGAAGTTATGTGCCTCGTAAGCTGTAGAAGTAGAATTCAGACCCAAATCTTTCTGACCCTTGCATCCTCTGTTGGGCTGCACTGTCATCCAGTAGGCTGAGTGGTCTCCCAAGCTGCTGACCCTGTCCTTTCGGCTAGTTTATTTTCCTGTGAAAGCGAGTTGTTACTAACCATGCTCTATTTCATTTGGGGTTAGAGGAGATAAAATGGGATTGTACTACGTAAAACCCATTGTGCATATTGTTACAACACTTATTATTGGTGCATAATACTGCCTTTATTTACTTCCCAAAGCTTAACCTCCAAGAAGCAGGCTTAAGCAATTTTTTGAGAAGTGAAAATTAACACAGGATAATTATTCATTGGAAACACTCAACACCAATTTAATCTTAATTTAGGCAAATTTGATTAACTGGTTTCCCAGTCTACCACTGATTGCTGCTAAAGTCAGGAGCACTGCGACAGTGTAGGGCTAGTTAGCGCGCTGCCTGCTGCAGTGGGCAGCACTGTGGGGAAAGCAGCAGCCTAGCGCTTCAGAGTGCTTGGTGCCATGTAGTTAAAGACGTGCAGCCTCACGAGCGCCTAGAGGGCACCTCTGCACAGTGAAATATTTGAACTGGTTCAGTTAGAGGCAGCTATGTGGTTTCAGAAAGCAGAGGCATTTTAGGATGATTTCTAGCAAAATTTATTTTTAAAATACTTGGCACTTGAGAATGATGATGGCAACAAATGTACAAATGTGCTTGGCACAATGGATGGATGGATGGATTGTGATAAGAGTTGTACGAGCCCCCTATAAAATTATTTTTTAAAAAGTGGTTCCTTTTTTTAGTTATCTGGAACTTTTTTTCCCTGTAATGATACCCTACTATTCAGGCACTAGAAACCCAAACCTCTTATTGGATTCATTTTTTCTCTCCAAAGTTTGAAAGTAAGTTTTATATTAATTTCAGTATATATTTGCCCTAATTCTGTCAAGGTAATAATGTATTTTTGTGGGGGCATGAGGGTAGAGAGAGAACTCAATTTCCCCATCTAAGACATAACTTATGTTCAAAGGGAAAAGTAAATCTAAACCACGAAATGGTTACCTTTGAAACGATTAGTGGAATCTATTGTGTTTTAACCAAACATTTTAGTTTAAAGGATTTTATATTAAAGGCAATTCAAATACTCCACAAGTCAAAGATAATGTTGGGATCTGGTTTAAATAAAATAATAAAATCCAGAAATTCTGGTGCAAGGGCTGGGACTCTGCACAGCAGGTCCCCTAGTGGAGCAGGTTAAAGGCAGTGCCCTCACTTGTCAGTCTTCGTTTTCTGTGGTCTTTAGAAGGTAGAAACATGCTATTACTGAATGCATGGCCTCATTAGATTAAGGAGGGTTTTCATCTTGCTTTTTTCAGAAGTACCAACTAAGTGAAAATTTCTATTCATTTTTAATTGTTTTAAAAAATATTGACTCTGTGCTCTTTGGCTCACTTAATATGCTTAATGTAAAATAAAGCTTATGCTTTGAATTTATGTTTCATTTAGTGCTGTGCAAGCATCTGCAGACCATCAGAAAAGACTTCAACAGTTCTTGGAGTTCAAAGAATAGTTAAGTAATATAAACTGTGTTCATTACCCTGCTGATACAACTGCAGATGGGACAGTAAATGTTCAGCATTCTTGGATCAGAAGAAAATGGACTAATTAGATGCTTCCTTTGTCGTGGTGGTTGCTTTGAAAGCTCTACTCTAATGGGAGAAAGCATGGGAAGAATACTCCGCAGAACAGCAAACACTGCCTTCTCTGTACCAGTGTCTGCGCGTGCCCTATAATAAAGCCTTCACTTGGTTTACAGCAGCATCTGTGCAGTAGAAATGTCTAGCGCATATAACTTAATAACTTGATACACTTTTTAGAATGTGCTTTTGAGGGGATAGAGCCGATTGGAAGCGTGATTCATCTTGATGCCATCTTTCTTCCTAATCATTCTACAAGTTTTGCTCACTCCAAACACAAAGCGCATAAACTGCTTTTAGAGTAGTTTCTATTTACTGAAGGATAAAAATGGTAACCGTGGAAGAAAATTCACAGAAAAAATACTGTCTGAAGGACATACTTTGTTAATCTGTTAGGTTGTGTTTTTGTTTCCAGGGACAAATTAAATTTGCATGATTGTCCAAAAAAAGAAAGAAAAGGTCTCAATTTACAGATGCTAACTCCATATAAAGGAATGTGGAAAAATTCAGTTCTTAAGTTACAGGATGAAACGTGCACATTTGGTTTCGAAAAACAATAGGCCGACATCTAGAATTTATTTTGTGTCATGCTAGCAAACATTGAGTGTATGGATACTTTCCTGACTAGGTATGCTTTTTTATTCTAGAACAAACCATTAAGTGATTGCAGAGTTTCCACGTAAGAAACGTTCTGTAAGGAAAGCCAGGCCACGTTTCCTTTTCTCCCTCAGCCCCTCCTCTTCATTAGACCACGTTACTTGCGAAGCTTGTCTGGCTTCACGGGGAGCAGCCTCTGCTGTGTTAACTAGCTAATTAAAATATATTAGGAAAATCTTTACAGCCAGAAACAACGTAGTCATCAAACAGCAAGTGAAACCAAACGTCAGAGGGATTGCTGTACTGGGAGCATGGTCTGTGTCCAAAATGTGAGCGAGGTGCTTTTATAATTTATTACATCAACTTCTTTGGAGATGAAAGATTAGAAATCCTACTAGCAGCTATTCATTGGACTAGCTTTAGGCTGAAATGCTCCCTTGTAATTCTTTTCTTATTTTTTCTCCCTTGTGCCCTCAATGTTTTCTTTAAAGTCAGTCGAGTGCTGTATGTGAGTCTTTAATGTGGTCTCCATGCCTGCCATTTGTCGGATGCCTTGATGTGTTATATCTTCAGAATGGCATGTTCGCTGGCCTTTCCAGTGTCTTTAGCAGACTGTCCCCAGTTGTCAAGTGTTGTTTTGAGGCTGTTCCTAGTGTCTGAAGTTGAGCCGATCTCGGTCTCGAATGTGAAAGCAGAGTCTCCAGTGTTGTGTAGTCTCTTACAGATGGCCAGAAATGCAGGACAAGTTGACCGATGACGGTGGAGCTCCATGTTTTAAAGCCAGGAGGCTTTTCAGTACTCCCTTTCCTCTGCTGCTCCTGGCCGAGGCGTTTTAGGAGACAGAGAACCTGAGCCCTCTGTTTCCGTGAGCGAGAATGTGTGGTATTTAACCCATTGGATCCCTGAGGCTGAATGGGATCACTTTGACTTGGACACACCTATCTGGTGGTTCAGGCAGGTTCCCACGTGTTTGGGACAAAGGATGTTGGATGAACAATGGGAATGTGTCTGAGGTGTTTGTCCCTTTGTATTTTTTCTTTAGGAGAATGTGCCATGGACAAAGTAGAGGCCATATAATCCCTGCCTCGTGGGGATTTAGAAACTGCTTCCTCATATACACATGGTATTTAGTAGGTCAGGGGCGGGGGGCTTTCACCATTTTGTATTGATCATCTGTACACACTCTTGGGTTAGTGGATGGCTCAGTCCCCTGTTTTGAAAGGGAACTCCTGGATGTCAGGAGGTCTTAGGGAGGCCACGATTAGAGAAGCCTTTCCTTTGATGTGGGCACAAGCTGTCGGAGCCTGCTGGTGCTATCCTGTTGGCCAGCAAGTTAGAGACAGTTCTTTGCAAGCCTTTCTCTGGCTGTCAGAGCGAAGCATGATTGCATCTGCCCTTGTCAGGTTTGTCTGGCCCTCATGGGAGGTCTAAGTTAAGTCCACTTAACTTCTCTTCAGAGAACGGGGCAGCCCCTCGAGTAACCCCCTTTACTCAGCTGCTAGAACATTGATGGGCAACAACTTGTTACTTTGCTGGATTTGTTTCTTGGTAATTGTTTTGTGTGTCTTCCTGTAAATATTTATGGAAATCTGTATCTTTTTGTATCATCCATACATTTTCGGGTAGCAAAATAAAGTGACAATTAAGAAAAATGGAATGACTCTTTGAAATTTGTGTCTCCAAGGTCAGTTATTTTATCTGGTGAGAGGGTGTGCCCATGTGTTTCCTTACACATTTCAGTTCGATCTCAGAGCGTTGGCTTATAACCCTGAAACGACAACTCTGCTTGGGAAGTCAGCGCTGCTCTTGGCTGAATTGATTTGGTGGCTGCTCTGGGTTTGAAGGGGCCCAAGTTCAAAAAGTTTGCTTCAGTGTCTTTCCACTAGACGTAAGCCAACAGGTGCAGGTGCCGAAAGCCATCACTGAGCATGTTTGTTTTCTTGCCCCAATAGTGTTTCTAAATGCATCATATTCCCCTAGGCTGACAACTTGACTTCAATTAGTCTGAACTTCACCTCTGCTAGGGACCAGGGCCACCAGCTCCTCCTCTCCCAGCCCCATTGACATCTTTTTAGAAAACCAAATAGGTCAAAACAGAGATCACTTCACTCAGTGAACAGTCCAAGCTGCTGAGGACCATTTTTAATAAGTTCAATCTTTATTATTTTGAGGGATGAGAAGGAATAGGTCAGCCACATGCACCCTATCATTCTCAGCCATGGTCCTTGGCAACCTTGGCCCTTTGCTCTAGTAATGTGTAACTTGATGTGGAGCTGATGGAAACGCCGAACAAGAAGACGCAGCCCTTGCCCTCCAGAAGTGTACAATCGATACAGTGCCGCGTGAAACTGGTGTGCATGGGGCTCGCCAGGAGTGTTTATGAAGCCTGCAGAGGGCTGCACGGGAGCTTCTGATTCAGGAGGTCTGGGCTGGATTTTAACCAAGTCTGCCAGCTGTTTCTAAGCCAGTGGGCTGAGGATCACACCCTGTAAAGGGTGTCTTCCAGGCCAGGGAGGAGTCTCTGGCCTTTCTGAGTAGGCATCAGAATTGCTTGGAGAGCTTGCACAGCAGATGGCGGGCCTTGCCCCCACCCAGTCTCTGATGCTCTGAGTCCCCGCCCAAGAGCTGCATTTCTAACAAGTGTCCCGGTGGTGCTGTGCTTCTGGTTTGTTCTTGGACCACACTGAGCATGGTGCTCGTGATTTCTCCCACGTGGTGGTCTCAGGAGTGTGTCTGAAGCGGGTGCACTATTGCTTGCCCTGACATTCGTCCACCGGATTCCTGTACTGGAAAACTCGAAGGATGCCGTTGGATCTCACAGGTAACTCAGGACTGCTGACCAATGTTGTGGGCCTGCTTTGCTAAGACCTGTTTGGGGGGCTGACGAGCTTCTTTTGTCCTCTTCCCGGCAAACGTCTCAAGCTTGAGAATGCACTTAGCCTCCCCATATACGCCCAGCTGTAATTCAGTGTGTTTTCTCAATATGTGGCTTTTGTCTTTTTTGCCTTCATTGGAATCTGTTTCCTTTCATAGACCATTGTGATAGGGTTCTCTAGAGAAACCAAACCAAACCGGGATACTGTTTTATGTGTATATATATATATATAAAACAGTTTATATATATATGTGTGTGTGTATATATATATATACCACGAAGAAATAAACAGCCAGTTAGTCCACAGAGCAATACACAGGGCTCAGGTAACTCACTTCTGTGAGACAGAACTCACGAGGCGTGCTGGGGGCAAGTCAAGGGAGCAGACCGCTGAGTCTTATGTAGAGCAATGCAGACAGTCTGGCCACAGGCAGCAAACAGCAGGGCAGGTCACCAACAGTCAGATGACAGAGTCCGACAGTGCCCAGCTCAAGTGATGTATACACCAGCAGTGTGGAGAAGCAGGTCTCAAAGGAACCTCAAACTATAGCAACAGGTAGTGTAGCTTGCAAGTTGAGCCAGAGAACTAGCTAAGGCAGCCACACACTGGTCTGATCATCAGAGAGCAAGAGACAGAAAGACGAGGCTTGCCGAGCCATTTATCTCTTTGCCCTTCAATTAAACTGCACCTATTAATCCCACGTGTTCATTGGCCAGGTTGGCACAATAAGCCTACCGATCACAACCATGATCTCCCACCTCCACAATAGTTTTTCAGTAAATAAGTAAGCATTCTGCATCTTCTCGGGTTCCTTTAGTTTTGTATTTTTAGAAGACACAGGTCCATAATGCCTTATCCAAACCAAACTCACTGCCATTGAGGCAATGCCACCCCCTGTGGGTTCCCCCTGTGACTTTATGGGAGTGGAAAACCCAGACTTTCTCTCTTGGAGTTGCTGGTAGTTCTGAACCGCTGACTCTGTGGGTTGCAGCCCATTGTGTAACCAATGTGGCAACCAGGGCTCCTATAACAGTCCTGAGATCGAGATTTGTTTGTTTTTTTAAATGATGTTTGGTGACAAATCTTAACTGGCTACAAACTTTGACCTAAAGGAATATGAGCCTATTTCTAGACGGGATTCATCCCACTTACTCTGGCTATGCTTCCATTTTAGCCTAGAACGCTCGACTACTAGGTTCCCACTGGGAATACACAGCATTACTCCAGCTCTAAAATAGGAAACCTTTATTATGAAGAACTGGCATCAAGAGTGTGAGAAATTTTAGACCTGTTTTTATAACGTCTGTAATTCTTCCGTTTATTTGGCATTCACTTACCGCCTGCTGCATCAGGCCCTATGATCGTTAATGGTCGTCATCACGAACTTGCCCTCGAAGAGCTCACTGTCTTATGTGAGAAGCTATATATTTTGTTGGCAAAGAATCCTTTTTCTATTTATTGATAAAGTTGATATTTTTTGCTGCTGCTACCTCGTTTGTTGAACTTCTACCTGGTTCTTCACCTTTTCCAAACTGTAGCCGTTGCTTTCATTTATGCTTTAGGATAGAGGATAGTATCTTACCGAATTCAGCACTTGACACACTGCCCACCTTTGGTGTTCAGGCCCCTCTTTGTCACCTGCTTATTT